ATCTATCCAGAAACGATCGAATAACATTTATTTGTTGCGCTTGGTTTGACTAATGATTGAACGATTATTGATTGAATAACTAAACGGTAATATTTAATATTCAAAACTGTAGAATCCAAAGTAAGGTTCAGACTAAAGAATCACTGTCTAGGTAGTTTAGATATGCGTCATTTACCCAGACACCTTGTCTTGGTCTCAACAGCGCAATAGTCATTATATCAATGTGGTACGATTGTACCTAAATTCGGTGAATTAATTATCTGAACTATGATCATCTTTTTAGACAACTAATATTATAGCTCAGTTCATAAACTCAAATAGGTATGGCAATAACAATTATGATAGCTTTAGCGAAAATTGTTAAAGACGGTTCAAATGATCGTTAGATTAAAGTAGCATAGAGATTATGTAGTGCAACACACGTACAGACCACGTTAACGTTTAGGTTGGTGCAGAACATGGCGATAAAAAAGAAGCATGAACTTGTACAACCAAAAAATTTAGAGGTTGAGAGGGTTTATGGAACTGTAGCATGGCGTCGAGTTGGGATTAACTATGAACACCGCTACAGAGAAACACGTGCCAAGTAAATCAGAAGGCCAACGTTGAACGTAAACAAATAAATCCATAAAATCCCCGAGAAGCCAAATATCAGAAGGTAATTAATGGACCAAATCGAGATATATTCGCTGGCGATCTCGTGGCATCGAAAGGATACCGAGATCGTGCCAGGATACAACCTTGGTTACAGAACGTAACCGAATTCGCGCGAAGTTACAATCGAAGTGTAAGTATAAGAATGGAAGCACAAAATAGGTGTCATTAGCACAGTCAAACAAAAGCACATTAAAACAAGCACTGATATAGTTGGTTATAAAAATAATTGTTTTTATTAAACTAGTCGTGTTCTCGTGATAAATGTGAGTCGCTACAGAACTAATGTTATGAAAATGATAGGTATTATATAGGAATCTCATAAGAAGTCGCTGTAGTTAGCTAGGTGATTTCATGACTGAATCAATGATTATGAGAACAAGGAAGTGTCAGGCTACTATTTAATATAATATGGTTTTCCTGAAAACCACACACTTCCTCATGTAAGTATATTGTTATGTAAGGATAGTAAGTATATCTTATACTGAAAACGGAATAGAAGTTATTCATATGAAGTATATACGGATAGTCTAAATGAAAACTTATACATATTAGGAAATACTAAAGACATGGTAAATTATCCAGCAAGCTGGTGAAAAGTACCTTCATCATACTTCTCTGATGTTTATTTTCCACGTTTACCATTCTCATGTGAGTCTGAATGGAGAGAAGAACCACAGAAGCTGCGAGACAATGCAAGTGTATTTTGCACAAAGAATGGGAACTAAAAGTTGAGTGGTGTTCTGAGTGTAGCACGAGTTGATGTCAGATGCCCGTTACAACTTCTTTTCGATAGACACTCGTCTCTTCTTCGAAGCATCTTTATCAAGTCCACGCTTGTTTGAGATCTTCTTAATAATATTTCCAATCCAGGAGAATACGTGAGTGGCGATTTCCATAGCCGGACCCGCAACAACTGAAAACGAAATAAAACAGAGTCACAATATCACGAATATCAATAGTGATAGCAGCAAAGTTAATGTGAGTTGACACCATTTCATAAGGTCAATTAGAACCGATCAACCTCGAGTAATGTGAGACCCACCTGGTTTCTGACATTCAGACGATATGACCAGTACAACCGTGATGAGCTGAAATGAGAAGACCGATCAGACGAACTATATCATACAACGGAATTATAACATACGGTGAGTAATCGCATTGTAGTGGGTTACTTTCGAAGTGAGTGTTTCTCGCTCGATGGCTTGTTCGTCAGTTGACCGCATACACTGCACTGTTGTATTTATAGTAGACGTTGGCCATTCCGCATATAAACATGTGGTCACACCCGAAGACCAGTTGTTCAATAGTGTCGATTTGTGTTGTTGTGTTGTATGTGGCAAATCGGAAACTGACACCCTACTTGCCAATCGACTTCCACCATTATATTTGACTCGATGCCTTACTCGATTAGACAACCAGTTACATGATACCGGACGTGCAACACTTCGTTTCGATGATTGTGTACATGTAAAACATTGTCGTTTTGTGTCTAATGTGTTTGTGGACATGTGTGATGATCAGTTACATGAAATTACCATATGCCATCGTGTGTTCCGAAAAACGAAGAAACAGATTCTTTCTGACGTCTTTTATTCATGATTAGAGGAAAGTGGTTGGCAATCAACTAAATTTCTGTTCAACTGTCATGAGCCTTTCTATCTTAAACCCTACGAGCTTTGGCTTTATTTTTTTATTTTTGAAAGATTGTACTGGAATTTGTTTTGGATTATTTTGTCGCCGCTTTTCAGTGAACTTTTTACATGCCAATATGAAATTCGCAACAATGATTCACTTTTTTCGCATGTGAACTATTTCTTTTTCAAATTGATATATTGATTATGATTTTATGTTGTCTATAAACAAGTCGGTGATAGGTGTCGTTATTTTAGCTTAGCGTGATTCTATACGGTTTTGAGTGACTTTGTGATGAATAAGTCACATAAGCTCGTCGAAAGTATTCACAGTTTCCAGTTGGGTGATATAGTTAGACAAGTTGCTCTTGATTCTCATTAAAGGTAGATGTAAAATTACCTGAGTCTGTGGTGACTTTCACACGATGTTCAGTGCTGCGCTACCGCAACCGTCGTACCTCAGAATTGACTGAAATCGTTCCAGACGAATTACGCGAGTCAAAGGAATTTTCGAAACCAGACCTAAAACGTACATATCTACGAATTCCACTGAATAAACTTATGAGTGGATCAGCTACTATTATTATGCCATTCGAGGTATTCAGATACAAATTAAGTGTTTGCCCTGCAACATTGCAGCAAGTTGTCAGTCAGATTATTACCAACGTACATGGCGTCGAATCGCATCAAGACGGTGTCGTGGTTCATGCTGCAAATATTGCGTTTCAATATAGTGAAAATTCCTATTTACCAAATTTCTCGTTGTTCCATGTTACTTAGATGAATTGTGATGCAAATTTTGCTGTAAAATGAACTAATTTTCAGTTCCAACGTGATTTCGTCAACTGTCCAGACTGTTCTGTTGATGAAAAAGTGTTTCAAACCTGACATTAATATTTTACTCACCAATAAATCTAATAACCTCTCACCACTAACGTCATGGATTGATACTTTTCAAGTTTCTGCCTTGATTATTCGATAACATACATAAATATCATTGTAAATTTTTGACTTGGTTTGTAGTGCGAATGTTGTGGGAAAACAACGACTTAAAGATATACCACCAACGTTTTCACCTTTTTTGCGGTGGCATTCGATGATTTTACGTAACTGCTCAATACACGTGTACACAAACACATTAGACACAAAACGACAATGTTTTACATGTACACAATCATCGAAACGAAGTGTTGCACGTCCGGTATCATGTAACTGGTTGTCTAATCGAGTAAGGCATCGAGTCAAATATAATGGTGGAAGTCGATTGGCAAGTAGGGTGTCAGTTTCCGATTTGCCACATACAACACAACAACACAAATCGACACAATCGAACAACCAGTTTTCTCCATCTAACCGTATACTTGGCAATGTTTTCCAGGTGGTTTAAACCGCTTTTCTTTTTTTTTCTTAACTACTTTCAATTTCCAACGCAGCGTTCCTTGGTTTTTCTAGTGTTTTTTTCCCTTCAGGATTCCAAGTAAGCACCTAACTCGTAATGAATTTTGACGACTTCCTCAATGCTCATCTCAGCAATTTCCAGTGGCTTTTCTTAATTTCTCATTCAACTGGAAGCTGCTGGCCTCTGCCATAGTAGGTTATTGCTGATGGTATATGACCAACGAGCATTGAGTATTTTGCGTAGATATTAGTCTGAAAATACTTGTATTTTTTATTGATGGTTGGAGTATTTCTCCGAGTTTCACCTCGGTACATCGGGAGTATTTTGACGTTCGTATTTAAAAATCTGACATTGATTTTACCTGATATTTATTTTGAATAACGTAAGTTCGTCAACGGAAGGAATGCCTCCTTAATTTTGCATATCTTCTCCGCTACACCTGAATCAGGTCTTCCTCGTTCATCGAAAATGCTTTTCAAGTGATTGAAACCATACATATTCCAGAGCATTAACAACAACTGTGAGTTCTTGATATCCTAAGTCTTACGGTACACGATAGGCTGCTACGCCAGTAGAAACCATTGAAGAACTTGATATCTGTAGGACAGAAGAACAAAAAGTGAGATAAATGGAGACGATGATGCAGCAAGTGACGCATTATCTACGCGACCGTGGCCGAGACTAAAGAAGCTGACATGTGTTGACAATTACTTGGAGAAGTATCTTACATTTGCTGATATAGGGATTACAGAGTTGGATTAATTAACTGAAATGAACTGCTTCTATGATGATTATTCTGTCTGTCGACATGTCATGCACTAGAACGATGAACACAAGACTACACCTACATTAAGATTTTTACTTCCGAAATCGTCAAGCAGATAACCGACAAATAGACGATTGTGTGAAGCACTCATACTATTGAGATGATGGAGTCTGTCATTTCAACAACTTTCCGTTGTTCCTATGTAAAGCGAAAACGATCACAACATTTCTGAAAACATGATATACGTGTGTGCGAACAAAGGTGGGAAACCACTGTGCTCTAATGTGAAACACGTGTTCGATGATCGATTCTATCGAACCACCAGACTTCGAGTGTGACCACGTGTGTGGACATGGAATGGCTAACGTCCACTATAAATACGGTGGAGTGATGAATGCAGTCAACAATCGAGAAACGCACACATCAGACAATCGAGAATCCAACACTCAGTTCTTCAGGAAACCACCACAATGCAATTCTTCACTGTATGTTACAATTTCGTTGTGTGATATTGCTCGCCTAATCAATCTTTTCATTTCAGCTCATCATGGTTGTATTGGTCATATCGTTCGAATGTCAGAATCCAGGTTAGTCACACTTTACTCGTTACTGATCAATTCCACTTGGCCACATGACGTGGAGCTGACATGTGTTGACATGTACTTGGAGAAGTATCTTACATTTGCTGATATAGGGATAACCGAGTTGGATTAATTAACTGAAATGAACTGGTTTGTGATGTGATGCGGTGTGATTGCGTAACGTGGATATTTGACGTGTCGTTGTTTTGCTCTGTAACACTTCATTCGATGAATAACATTTCGGTGTTTTTGTATCTGACTTTCAGCTATTGCAGCACCGGCTCCAGAACCAGCACCAGTGCCAAGTGGAAGGTGTCCTTGCTGTTCCGGTGCATGCCCTCAATGTCCTCGGTGTTGTGGATGCCGTGGATGTCGAGGTGGAGACTGTTGTGGAGGATGTTGCAGTAAGCGTCGCACTATCAACGCGAACTTGGAAGATATAATTGCTGGCAAGGTCAAGCTCTGAGTGTTATCAACTTGTAGTTTCGTTTGTCTAGATTGAATATATCTTCATTGTTCCACAAATTGCTGTGTTTTGTATTTGTTTTGCATTCACTGATTCGCGCTTTTCCAACTCAACGACGGAAGGCATTAACGTGCCTAATGATCACAGTCGTTTCTGTGAGTATTGAATGTGTATTGCAATTCAGAATGTGTAGCATGAAATGTTCCTTTACAAGTGCCTCGCATTCTTTGCACACTTCATAAAGAGTATGTACACAGAAAGATTGAATATATTCCACACGGTGAAATGAAATTTATATTTGAAAAGAAGAATCTTTCAAAAATTAGATAACATATATTTCCATTTGCCTAGAATTCTGGTCGGTTCATCTCTTAGAAATATTTCTTCTCATAGTTTGTGTATTCTAGATTGGTTACTGTATTGTTTTTTACTTTCATTTATTTACATGACTTTTTTGTATCTAGATATCGTCCTCATGGAATAAGTGGTTAAATCAGGTATATTTCATCAAACTGAATAGCCTATGTGCTCTGATTTGATTTTTGAACCTTGCTGAATACATTTGTCTTTATTAATCGAGAAATATTAGAGAGAATACTACTTTCTATCATTCCCAGTTGCTGTTCGATAACTTTCTTTATTTACATTTTTTCATGTATTTGATTCGCAAAGTTAATTTGAAGTTTATTGTTTCACAATCAAACGTATTCTTTCATCGAATTTAGTGCTCATTCATCATAGTTCGGCAAAACACCATGTTTACAAATCACCAACACTTTGAAAAATCGATTTGTAAGTTCTACGTTACCATGGAATATTTTCTAAATGTCACTCTTAGTATTTCTCACGAACGGTAATCAGCTAAACTTAAAGAACATAGATTTGTGTCATCACTAAATGTGTAGAATTATGGTCCAGTTCAGTATTAATACTAATACAGTATGATATCTAATAACAAAACTGTAGATATGCCATCATGTGAATCTATAAGATCTAACCTATGAGCCTAATCCATATGATCTTACATGGAAGTCACATCATTGTCTATTCGGACTCGTCGTATCATTAAAATTAGCAATCTTATGTTTGGTTTTCCTAAAGAACACATGTAGGTCAAAGATAAAATGACATATTTAATGGGAGTGAAGACAAGTTTTATAGAATGATCACGCCTGCAAGGCTGAGACATGCCATCCAACTGACTGAATCTTCTCGCGTAGAACTTTTTTAACTTCTCTTCATGTTAATTGTTGAATATAAATCTTTTCAGTAATTATATGCTCAACTTCAAAGATCGTGTGGTTAGAAACTAATGCCACTACACTACTCTTCATATGAATAACTTCTATTCCGTTTTCAGTATAAGATATACTTACTATCCTTACATAACAATATACTTACATGAGGAAGTGTGTGGTTTTCAGGTAAACCATATTATATTAAATAGTAGCCTGACACTTCCTTGTTCTGATAATCATTGATTCAGTCATGAAATCACCTAGCTAACTACAGCGACTTCTTATGAGATTCCTATATAAAACCTATCATTTTCATAACATTAGTTCTGTAGCGACTCACATTTATCACGAGAACACGACTAGTTTAATAGAAACAATTATTTTTATAACCAACTATATCAGTGCTTGTTTTAATGTGCTTTTGTTTGACTGTGCTAATGACACCTATTTTGTGCTTCCATTCTTATACTTACACTTCGATTGTAACTTCGCGCGAATTCGGTTACGTTCTGTAACCAAGGTTGTATCCTGGCACGATCTCGGTATCCTTTCGATGCCACGAGATCGCCAGCGAATATATCTCGATTTGGTCCATTAATTACCTTCTGATATTTGGCTTCTCGGGGATTTTATGGATTTATTTGTTTACGTTCAACGTTGGCCTTCTGATTTACTTGGCACGTGTTTCTCTGTAGCGGTGTTCATAGTTAATCCCAACTCGACGCCATGCTACAGTTCCATAAACCCTCTCAACCTCTAAATTTTTTGGTTGTACAAGTTCATGCTTCTTTTTTATCGCCATGTTCTGCACCAACCTAAACGTTAACGTGGTCTGTACGTGTGTTGCACTACATAATCTCTATGCTACTTTAATCTAACGATCATTTGAACCGTCTTTAACAATTTTCGCTAAAGCTATCATAATTGTTATTGCCATACCTATTTGAGTTTATGAACTGAGCTATAATATTAGTTGTCTAAAAAGATGATCATAGTTCAGATAATTAATTCACCGAATTTAGGTACAATCGTACCACATTGATATAATGACTATTGCGCTGTTGAGACCAAGACAAGGTGTCTGGGTAAATGACGCATATCTAAACTACCTAGACAGTGATTCTTTAGTCTGAACCTTACTTTGGATTCTACAGTTTTGAATATTAAATATTACCGTTTAGTTATTCAATCAATAATCGTTCAATCATTAGTCAAACCAAGCGCAACAAATAAATGTTATTCGATCGTTTCTGAATAGATCACATACAGATTCGAAAGATAATATTTGGTTGCGTTTTAACACAAAGTGTTCCTAACTCTGGAAGAGTGCTTTAATTCACAATCAAAAATGTTCGACTCCAGTCAACGCAAGTAACACAATCAACGAGGAAACAAAGCAATATGGCTGCCGCCAAGACCAAGTATCAAGTAAAATAACATAAATGCTTTTCAGAAAGAAACATGGAAACCCAGTGAAAGCGTAAAAAAACTTAACAAACTGACTGGAACATTAGTTAGAATTCTTTCTCCCCGCGGTTATACTTTTGTTCCTTCAGTTAGCCTACTAATGCTAATGCAATCGGAAGTCAAATTATACAGACAGCACACCGATATGAACACCAATTAACTTTTTAAATATAAACCAAATAGAATGCCAATATCAGCATTAATACAACACTAATCGTTTTTCTATTGCTCATCACGAAATGCTTATACTGATCACAGGTTAAGTTATTAACCAACAGTTAATGCTATGCATCTTACTGTGACTTGTTAAAATATCTCTATACTAAATCATTCATAATCACTATTATCCCCTTTTGTTTGACTCTTAAATAACCTTTGCGTGTATTTTCACTTTTTTGTGTAAATGACTAGGACAAAATTTTGGGGATTGGTGCATGTATTTCCCAATCAGTTGCTACCGCCTTCTTTTTTACTTATCTTTTTGCTTTTCAATATCCAGAGGATTTTTATTGTTCCCTTGGTAACCTCTAGCGCTCAGCAACTCCATTCCATTAGGTATCGAACCAATATCACTTTGATTCTGGGGGAAGAGTAGTGTAGTGGCATTAGTTTCTAACCACACGATCTTTGAAGTTGAGCATATAATTACTGAAAAGATTTATATTCAACAATTAACATGAAGAGAAGTTAAAAAAGTTCTACGCGAGAAGATTCAGTCAGTTGGATGGCATGTCTCAGCCTTGCAGGCGTGATCATTCTATAAAACTTGTCTTCACTCCCATTAAATATGTCATTTTATCTTTGACCTACATGTGTTCTTTAGGAAAACCAAACATAAGATTGCTAATTTTAATGATACGACGAGTCCGAATAGACAATGATGTGACTTCCATGTAAGATCATATGGATTAGGCTCATAGGTTAGATCTTATAGATTCACATGATGGCATATCTACAGTTTTGTTATTAGATATCATACTGTATTAGTATTAATACTGAACTGGACCATAATTCTACACATTTAGTGATGACACAAATCTATGTTCTTTAAGTTTAGCTGATTACCGTTCGTGAGAAATACTAAGAGTGACATTTAGAAAATATTCCATGGTAACGTAGAACTTACAAATCGATTTTTCAAAGTGTTGGTGATTTGTAAACATGGTGTTTTGCCGAACTATGATGAATGAGCACTAAATTCGATGAAAGAATACGTTTGATTGTGAAACAATAAACTTCAAATTAACTTTGCGAATCAAATACATGAAAAAATGTAAATAAAGAAAGTTATCGAACAGCAACTGGGAATGATAGAAAGTAGTATTCTCTCTAATATTTCTCGATTAATAAAGACAAATGTATTCAGCAAGGTTCAAAAATCAAATCAGAGCACATAGGCTATTCAGTTTGATGAAATATACCTGATTTAACCACTTATTCCATGAGGACGATATCTAGATACAAAAAAGTCATGTAAATAAATGAAAGTAAAAAACAATACAGTAACCAATCTAGAATACACAAACTATGAGAAGAAATATTTCTAAGAGATGAACCGACCAGAATTCTAGGCAAATGGAAATATATGTTATCTAATTTTTGAAAGATTCTTCTTTTCAAATATAAATTTCATTTCACCGTGTGGAATATATTCAATCTTTCTGTGTACATACTCTTTATGAAGTGTGCAAAGAATGCGAGGCACTTGTAAAGGAACATTTCATGCTACACATTCTGAATTGCAATACACATTCAATACTCACAGAAACGACTGTGATCATTAGGCACGTTAATGCCTTCCGTCGTTGAGTTGGAAAAGCGCGAATCAGTGAATGCAAAACAAATACAAAACACAGCAATTTGTGGAACAATGAAGATATATTCAATCTAGACAAACGAAACTACAAGTTGATAACACTCAGAGCTTGACCTTGCCAGCAATTATATCTTCCAAGTTCGCGTTGATAGTGCGACGCTTACTGCAACATCCTCCACAACAGTCTCCACCTCGACATCCACGGCATCCACAACACCGAGGACATTGAGGGCATGCACCGGAACAGCAAGGACACCTTCCACTTGGCACTGGTGCTGGTTCTGGAGCCGGTGCTGCAATAGCTGAAAGTCAGATACAAAAACACCGAAATGTTATTCATCGAATGAAGTGTTACAGAGCAAAACAACGACACGTCAAATATCCACGTTACGCAATCACACCGCATCACATCACAAACCAGTTCATTTCAGTTAATTAATCCAACTCGGTTATCCCTATATCAGCAAATGTAAGATACT